TCTAATTCTTCTATTCTTTGATTTTTTTCTTTAACTTGTAGTTGCAAATCACCGATTGTCTCCAACAATTCTGCTTCAACTCTTTCTTTTTTATCAATTAATCGATTAATGATTAATAAGTTAACTGATTGGTTGTTTAGTTGATTAATCAACTAATCAATTAGTTAAGTATCTAATATGTATGTATGATCTCTATATATTGAGTGAATTTATCATTAAATACTATTTATCATTATTTACTATTACTTGTATTTTAAATTAGAAGGTAATATAGCGATAGAGTTTATTTTTTTTTTATTATCAAAATTAGAATATCTTTGTATTCAGATCTTAACTATTACAATTCTGATTAGCTGTGAAGGATCATGCATAATCACTAAAATTGGGTTGCATAAACTTAAAATTAAACTCTCTTTATTGTTTATGTTGTAAAATATTGGCAATTTTAAATGCTTTGCAATTTTCTAGCATTTATTTAAATTTTTTTCATAGAATACGCAATCTTTTCTTTCTTTTGATTGACAATCTTATTGAGATTTTAATAAAGCTTAATAGTTATTTGCTAAAAAGATACCTTTAAATTTGTATTGTTAAAATAGTTGATGAATAAGAAGTTGTCTGTTCACTAAATAGTAAGCAAATTGCAACATGATAATCTGGTAACTTAAGTGATTTACTATATCTGCTCGTCTTGTGGTTAGTTAATCCAATTTTATACTATCTAAACAGTTATAGACCTTGTTAATGGTAGGATGTAGGTCTAGATTTTTATCCCAAGCCTTAAAGTAAAGATTTATAAAATCAACTGGAGTTCTATCAATCTGAGTTTCTCGTCTGCCTGAGACTACATGGAGAACAATTTCATTAACATTTATATTTTTAAAAGGAGGTTCACTACTTGATAGTTTTCAAAAAAGAACACCAAGACTATAAATATCTGATAGTTCTTTTCGCTTAAAATTGTCTTTATCCATGATATATTGTGAAACAGAATAAGCAGGCATTTTACCTTTAACTGAAAGAGAGTTGCTTTCTAATGATTTAGATAAACTGAAATCTGCAATCTTCAGTATACTGTCATGTACCAACACATTTTTATCGTGCTAATTGAAAAATGATTTTAAACTTAGTATTAATATGCATACAATTAAAGATAGTAAAATAAACAAATACCATATAAGCATGAATAACGCCTACCTGCGTGTTATTTCGAGTATGTCTATATGCATTATTTTGAAATAAGGGTTGAATAAGTACCTCTTAATTATAATATGAGGTACTTTTTTATAATAAGTACTTCAGAACTAGGGTTGGTACAAAGTAAACCTATTTTCAAGCTTTAACAACTTTTGTTAATAGGTTTACTTGGTACTAACTCTAGTTCCAGAGTGGGGGATGCGTGTTAATTCGGAGCATTAATTTGAAACCACTACATATACTATTTTGGGAGTATCTGGTTTTTAAAATAACTCCCACGAGCGTTATTTAATGCTTATAGTAATATGAAATCCTTACAAGATCATAGTGTATAATCTTTATACTATGCAAGTACTTAATCCTATCTGCAATTTCCTTTGTCATTCTAATCTTATCAGACCATTCCAATTTAGGAAAATAGCAGGATTGGTTATTTGCATAGTATGAATGTTTTATATCATGATCTTCATGATAAGAATGTATTAGTATATAATAGTAGACCGATAATTACAGACTTTGGTTTATCTAAATCATAATTATGTGATTTTGTATAATTATTAATTACAAAATCTAGGGCATCTTTTCCACATTTTGATAATTTATTTCTGTCTTTCTTTATATGTACTTGAGCCTGAGAAGATCGATTAAATGGACCATTTGAAATTTCTCCTAACATGAGTTCTAAATCAAAATGTTCGCTTTCATATACTCCATATATGTCATTTTTTTTAATTGGCCCTTTTTTATTATTTTTTTCCGAACTAGCTTTACTTATAATTGTATCCCTATATATAAATAAAATTTATTATAAAAGAATTAATATATTAATTAATTTAGAAGTTTAAAACATACTATCTAATACATATATCTGATTCTTTAAAATCTGCAATAAAATTTACAATTGATTGTAAAACATAATGCGCCCATGATGATTCATTAACTTTAGTTGAACACAATTGTAGCATAGGTATTCTCCATAATCTTTTTCTTTATAATTAAATAGAAATACATAAGAATTTATTTCATAAAAATTCATTAGATTTATAGATATAACTTACATTAAATCAATTAAAATTTGAGTTTTTCGATACAACAGACTATTATCATCTGGTATTAAAGCATTACCAGCTCTAACTTGGTTTATAATAAATTTCTTTAGTCTGTTGGGTAATAGCTTAGACAATAAAGTTTTTTTAACATTATTTCATAGCTTTATTTCTTGTAATGCTTTCTTAATTGGAGAGCTTGAAGTATCCAAAGCTTCAACGTCCAGAATTCCAGAGAGTAGCAAATCATTTGAGCTTAATTCTACCTTTGAAAATGCATTGCTAATTGTCTTTACAACCTCGTTTACATTCATAAATTCTAGCTAATTTAATTTAAACAAATAATTAATCTTTAGACATAAATTAAATTGCTAAAATTAATAAAATTTTAATTACACTTGTGATCCTTTTTTTTTGCTTCAATTAATTCCAACAGTTCATATAATATACAGTCTAGAACTTCATGCCAACCTAGTCTTTTAGCACAGGATTCAATATATACACTATATTGAACATAAGTATTATGGTTTTGAGTAGTTTTGATAAGATCTATTAAAGTTTGAAACTCTGACTATAAAAAAATTCACGATTTAGTATAAGTATAAAAAGTAAACAATAATTTGTTTTAGCATACTTCAAGAATTATTTCTAAGTGAAGGAAATTTATGCAAATAAGATAATTTGCAATTTTACATTATTTTTTTCTTATTAAATATTGATTTTTATTGTTATAAGTAACTACAATTTATGCATATACAAGTGCAGAAAATTCTAACTGAATATATTAGTTCTTTGGAAATTCTTTAATTTGCAATTATTTGTAGTATCTTCACAAATAAGATTTGAAAAGTAACCTTATGGGATAATAACTGATATTCTATTATTAGATCAATATTCGACAAACACCTGATTGTTTGGTCGAAACCAAAGTTATTGGAATTCGTTATATTTTTATTTTTTCAAAAAAATTTTATAATATTAATTTAATGGTGTTCTCCTCAAAATTTGAAAATATGTTAATTTGTAAGTTGAAAAGGATCTTGAGTTTATAGTAAATTTATATGTTTTTATTATATTAATGCTCACATATCAACAGATATCCTCTCTAACTGATAAGAAGTACTGTGTAAAGATTACTTCAGTTGTTGATAAGACCAATAAGCAGCCTAAATTGCAACATTTACAGCCAAAATTGCAACAATTTCCTTCTGATCCTTCGCAAAACTATCAACAAATTTTATAGTAATAATACAAACAAAAAAAATGAAATTTGTAACAGCATTCAAAACATTCAAAGCATATGAAGTAAACACAAGAAAATCCTTAAAATCATCCTGAAAAACCTCAAAAGTAAAAATATTCGTAAAAATAGCATTTACAGCAGCAAAAAAAATATTCAAAAGAAACACAATCTTTGTATTTGGAAAATAACAATTCAAAGCTACAACAATACTCTCTACAGCAAAAACAGCAACGCAAAAAGCGTTCTCTCTTCTGAAAGCAAGGGTGACAAAGGTAACAATAACAGCAGCAAAAAAACAATTCAAAAAAATACGAACAGCATCCTGAAGATAAAAATTTGCAATAACAATAGCATTCTCTAAAGTAGCAGCAACAAAAAAACCAGTAACATTAACAAATTTCCAGGCATTCTTCAATGCATTCTCCAAATGAAATGCTATAACAAAATTTTTCTCTAACTTCATCAATCTTCTCTCATCCCTCTCCCTACTCAAATCTTTCAAACGTTGAAAAAAAAAGCCAAAACATTTTGACAAAAACTGCGGAATTTGCATTCCAAACCAAATCTCAAAAAACTCAAGCAAAAAAATCAGCCTAATCTTTCGATAAATGGCTCACTGAACAAAAATTATTCAAGCCATGGGTAATTTTATACGAGTTTAATTGAATATCTAATTCAAACTAGATTTTTTCAATAGTAAGGCATAGATCTGGATCTCCATCCCAAGCTTTAATATAAAGGTCTTTAAAGTCATCTGGAGTTCTAGGAAATAGAGTTTCTCTCTCATCTAACTTTACTTTTTTTTCTACTTCTTCATTGCTTATACCTTCAAAGGGAGGATTACCATTTGACAGTTCCCAAAAAAGGACTCCAAGGCTATAAATATCAGAAGGCTTTCCTCGGCTATAATCATTATTTCTTATCTATTCAGGGTCCTTGTAAGCCGGTCTTCCACTTGCATAGGCACTC